TAAACCAACCATGGACGCTGATGTAAACATACTTTGATTTCTTTCTTAATAGATGACATTCGTGTAAGTAATTATATGAAATCATTATAAAAATTGTTCTTATCAATGTTATATTGTTGCTATAATACTTCAATCTATTTCAGTTAAACATCCAAACTCTCTTCAAACAAGTAACACCATCTGAATAAAGAATTAAAGAAAACACAGTTTATATAGTGAGAGTAGTTTGAAATCATTCTAAAGAAATCAATACAAGCTAAGATTTAAGATATGTTTATGTTGTGTTTATACAGCTAAGCTTAAAGATATATTTATGTTGTGTTTATGTAGCTAAGCTTTAAGATATATTTATGTTGTGTTTATGTAGCTAAGCTTTAATATATGTTTATGTTCTGTTTATGTAGCTAAGCTTTAAGATATGTTTATGTTGTGTTTATGTAGCTAAGGTTTAATATATGTTTATGTTGTGTTTATGCAGCTAAGCTACAAACTTTTAATAACTATATCTAACAGGTCTACGACATTGGGTTACAAAGATATAAGGATTAAAAAATTTGATTTTGTTGCAAACACTTAATTCCGTTGTAACTCAGAAACTATATATATGTAAACTTCTTTGTGGGAGGAGGAAACTGAAACCTGAAAATACGTTTTTCTCTACTGTTCCTTTAATCCTATTCCCAATGGGGATCCTCCCTAAAGTTGTTTTGAACATAATTCAAATAGTTTTGATCTGTTCAACTTTGTAACTTTTCTAAGTAAGACAAGCCACTCACTTCAATGAAGAAGATTGCATAAGTTTTGCAAAGAAATTCAGTTTTACCTACAATTGAGGTTCGAACATTTTTTGTTAAATAACTTGATTTTTCAAAGAAAATTTTGATTCTTGCAACATAAGTTTTTACATGTATACATATCATGAAATAGTATCTTAATAAGGATAAATAGAGTGAGGGGAGGGGGGCACTTATACCCCCCCCTCGTTTTTTTGCCGTGAAGTCGTCTGTTGGAATAAGGTTAAAATCTTTTCATTAATTTTAGGAGATGGTGAATGATAGTTTTGATTTGATGAATTGTACTTGGGATCCTGTTCTAGAGGTATTATACATAAAAATAATAAATAATAATTACATTTACATATATATATATATATATATGTATACTAGCTGAAGTGTCCTGTTCTAGAGGTATTAAAGATAAAAATAAAAGATGATAATTACATTTACATATATAGTTATATATATATATACTAGCTGAAGTGTCCTGTTCTAGAGGTATTAAAGATAAAAAAAAAAAAATATATTTTTTTAGCTGATGATTTTTTTTACTAAAAAAACTATTTTTAAAGCAAACTTTTGAAAAAACGGTCGTTCTTTTGTACTGAACAAACAAATGTTATTTTTTTGTTATTTTTACTGAACGAATACTTTTTTGATCAGGCTTTTGAAAAAACACTAGTTTTTTCTGAATGAGCGATTTTATTGAACAAGCAATTTAGTGAAATAATTATTTTCTTGAAATATGATTTTACTGAATGAATGTCTCACTGAACAAAAATTTAATAAAAATGATCTTTCTATAAGAAAAATACCAAAATATATTGAAAATTATCGATAATTCCCATAACTAATAATCTAAAATTTTGATGAAAAACTGACTAAAATTGGTTGTTAACGAAAGATGAACAAATAAATTGAAAAAACTCTATTCGTAAAGGAAGTTTTTATCAAGTTTCTAAAAAGTTTACAAAAGATGGTTTAGAATTGCTTAGAGCATGCATTTCTGATGAACACTTTATTACAAATTATATTTAGTTTTGTCCCTGGAAGTCTGTATTTGTCTATTCATTTTAAAAGCAGAGAGCCTCTCAATTTCTGATGAATACTTCATTAAAAAATTAAATTAACTCTTTTGCCCTGCTCAAGTCTATTTTTGGCCATTCCCGGAAAGAGCAGAGAGCCTCTCAACTTTAAGTGCCAGAAATACTGAGCTCAAAATCCATGATCATCTCATTTGAATAGAGTTTTATATGAAATAATAATTCTATATTTTGATTATTTGTTTAGGTTCCAGGAAGTGTAGAGCATAAGTTTGTTCTAGATCAAGTTCAAAATCTGCCTGGTATTCTTGCTCAGGTAGTTAGACAATATCCAGGTATTCTTGCTCAGGTAATTAGACAATATCCAGGTATTCTTGCTAAGGTAGTCAGCCAATATCCAGGTATTCTTGCTAAGGTACTTAGATAATATCTATGTCCTGTTGCTCAGGTAGTCAGACAATATTGAGGTACTCTTGCTCAGGTAGTTAGACAATAAGGTATTCTTGCTTAGGTACTTAGATAATATCTATGTCTTCTTGCTCAGGTAGTCAGACAATATCCAGGTATTCTTTCTGAGGTACTTAGATAATATCCATGTCTTGTTGCTCAGGTAGTCAGACAATATTGAGGTACTCTTGCTCAGGTAATTAGACAATAAGGTATTCTTGCTCAGGTACTTAGATAATATCCATGTCTTCTTGCTCAGGTAGTCAGACAATATTGAGGTACTCTTACACAGGTAGTTAGACAATAAGGTATTCTTGCTCAGGTACTTAGATAATATCCATGTCTTCTTGCTCAGGTAGTCAGACAATATTGAGGTACTCTTACTCAGGTAGTTAGACAATAAGGTATTCTTCCTCAGGTACTTAGATAATATCCATGTGTTCTTGCTCAGGTAGTCAGACAATATTGAGGTACTCTTACTCAGGTAAGTAGACAATATCCAGGTATTCTTGCTCAGGTACTCAGACAATATCCAGGTATTCTTGCTCAGGTAGTTAGACAATATCCACTATTCAGGTATTCCTGCTTAGGTAGTCAGACAATATCCAGGTATTCTTGCTCAGGTGCTTAGACAATATGCCGGTATTCTTGTTCAGGTACCTAGACAGTATCCAGGTATTCTCGCTCAGGTAATCTTGCTCAGGTACTCATACAATATCAGAGTATTCTAGCTAAGGTACTTCTCAGGCCAGGTTTTGTATTCGGCTAATCCCATTACATAGCACAATATCAAATTATTTGTGGTTCTAAATGCTTCAGGCTTTAGAGATTTGTTAAATGATCCATTAATTAATTTTTCATAAGGTCAGGATTTAAAATATGTTAAGTTGATAAAATTATCTGTAAATTTCAGAAAATCAAATATTTAACTTCCAAGCAAGTGCAAGTTTTGGTAAATATATTATGACAAATAGAAATATGACCAATACAACAATATACAATAAGTAATTTAAAGATTATTATTTAGGGAACTGGGTTTCATATACCTCAGTGTGATCCTATTGAGGTTCCTGTAGTTGGAGGCCCACCAGTCTTAACAGGTGATAAAAAGTTAATATGGTTTCTAACAAGTACAAGTTTGTGTTTATTGTATTGTAAAGGCATAATTTTTGGCTCGTTACCTGGCCAAATTGAAAAAAAACACATGAAGGCTTTCATATGTTTTTTTTTCAGTGTTAATTCATACAAAATAGAAAAAGCTTTTGAAAAACTTAACCCTTAAAACAGCTGTAAATTTTACATAAACAGACCCAAATCAAGACACTGTCCAAAATCCTTTTTTTTGTATTTTTTGAATGTTTTTGGAGCATTTACTTTACTTTAGAGAATGGTAAAATTGAAAATGAAGAAGAAAAAGCTTGAAAACACAGTTCTACTTAGGTCCAGAATTCCATTCTTTGTTGGAGAGTGAGTTTATCATGACAAGTCCAACTGAAAGTTCAAAGAAAATGAACAAAACTACAATCATTCATCTACCCAAGTTCATCCAAGGAAAATCAAAAACTAAGGTCAGTAAACATGCCACTGTAAATATAAACAAAAAAACTCATTTCTTATATATTTAGGTCCGTGTGTACATCTACAAATGCAGTGTGAAAGTTCCTTGCAAGATTATTTTTAAGATTGGATTTCAGTCAGATTTTGAAACAGGATCAGAGCAATGGTAAAAATTCATGAAAACTAATTATGGGGCCGAAAATGTTTTTTTTCTTCTGATGAATATTGACATATTTATATCTTGGGTAAGATAGAACTTGTTTGCACTTTAAAACAAAGATTGTTAAGAAAATAAAAAAAGAGTACAATTGTTTATATTTAATATCTAGGACTGATACTGCTGAGCTTGAGTCTGTGGATAGAAGTATTGTAAAGGTGAAAACATTTTGATTGGGATGGGCAAACTTTGTTTTATATAGTTTTAAAATGAACATAGAATGCAGTCTATGAATGTAAAAAATATAACTGTTAGTTGGTTAACAAACTTAAATAACTGTAACGTGAAAGTGAATGAAAAATTGAAAAAAAAAATTGCCTTTTAAGATATCTTTTCAATCTTAAAAAGAGAAAATGAAATTATTAATTTTCTTGTCTCTGCAGCATAGAACACATATCAGTCAGAGAAAAACAAGGAATATCTCCACAATATATGTCCGTACAAAGGATTAAGGAGTGCCATCGTTATTTCAGCAAAAATATTAGAAATAGCTGCAGTATCAGTTGCATTAATATATTGATGTGTGTCTAGGTTGAAATAGAGAATGTGTCCACCAATATGGCGAGAAAATTCTCCAAAGCAACCAATGGACAAGCTTAATAACTTGTTGAAAAATGGACAAGCATGTTCATAGCAACCAATGGACAAGCTTAATAACTTGTTGAAAAATGAACAAGCATGTACATACTACATAGAATGTTACGACATGTCATTTGATGAATTTACTTTCTATTTTCAATTAACAAAACTACGACAAAAGTTGGAAGACAATAAAATTTCTTTTGTATATAAATATCTGTTAATTATAAGGTTTTTTAATAAAACATAATATTTTTCAATCAGTACAGTGTATATTGTACAAGTGCGTTGTGTTTAATCACTTTTCCTCATATTATTTAGATTGAAAAAAGCTAAGTAGATAAATTTCTTAAAACCAAATTTTGCCCTGTGTACAAAGAATTTGAAATATAAAATGTTTTTGAAATCATATAGGTAAAACAAAACACTAGATGCACACACATTTTTGTAAGAATACCCTAATTCTTCTTTTACATAAAAAGCTGACAAAAATTTTAATATTACAAATATTATGCCAATATGAATTTATTTATAAAATCTTTAAAACTGTTACCAAGAATTCTGGTTGAATATATTGGGTAAATGTAAAACTATAGTTGTTGATATATTTTGAACGATTTCATGATAAATAATTCACAGTTTTTAGTACAGTAAAAATAAAAATGTTTTGACAGCCCTATATACATTTTTCATTACTGTAAACACAATAAATAATATATTTCCTTGAATAAAAATCAATAAGATAAATGTTGTTTTGGATTGTTAATAAAAATGAAGTTTTTTAGTTAACACTTTGGAGTTCATAGTTACTAACTTAAATAATTTATTTTAAATAAATTTTACCATATTTTAAAGTATTTATATGATATCAGATGAAAATATTTTAAGATTTCTATATTTCTTGTTCTTCATTTTCTTCTTGTTTGTACATCTTTCATACATCTTTAAATCATATATTAGCTAAATTTGAAAAAAAGAAAAGGTATTTCCTTGTAGCTGGTTCAAATCCTTCCTTCAACGATTGTTGGTTCAAATTTGAACCGGCATGTAGTAGTTCAGTTTCAACATGGCTCAAATTTGAACCAGCAGGTAGTAGTTCAGCGTCAACGTGGTTCAAATGTGAACCAGCAGGTAGTAGTTTAGCATCAACGTGGCTCAAATTTGAACTGGTAGGCAGTAAGTAGTTCAGCATCAACGTGGCTCAAATTCATTAAATGGGGTCCTTTGTCAATCATATTTTAAACAACATATCTATTCACATTTAGTAATTTAAATTAATTATTTATTTACTACAATAAAGCACCAGCAATACACGCATTTAAAAAAGACACCCAACAGCCTGCTATCATGGCTCGAAACACCACCTGTAATAACAAAAATTATTTTTAAAATATTGTAAAAAAAATCAAAGAATAAATCACTTTACCTGAGCAAAATCTGATTTTCTCTCTGGACACAGCCCACTGAGTCCTCCAATCTGCATGCCTTAAAATCAAAGTAATATTAGATGGGGATTTCTGAAAATTAAGCAAATTAGAATCCATAAACCTTTTCAGTCCCAGTTTGTACTGTATCGCCCTGACATTGGGTTAATAAAGCAGACACTCAATAGGAATAGGCGGTGCAACAAGGTTGACGCGGTCAGACTTTAGGTTGAATTTTTACTAAAGGGGCAGAGGTGAGTTCTGTATATAAATGTTCCAAAACTTAATTTTGTCGATTTTGTAGAATTAGTGAGGACAAAATAAAAATGCGAACAATGTGTTTCCAAGCATTTCTGCCAAAACCTGCTGTCAGCCGAACTTTCATTTTAATTATTATGCAAGAGTAGGCGATTATATCAATACAATAAAGACGACTTTTGATTTAAATAAAGCTGCTTTATTCATATGGATACACATACACATAAAGTCAAGCTTTCAATACAAAAGTTTCTCTTTGATTACTTGTAATCTTCTAATTCGGAAAACACTCTAAAGGGAGTGTTTGCGAAAAATGAAAGGGAGTATAGGCTTACGTCAAAAAATATTCGATGGAGATTGGTACTCATCTCAGTTCTATTTTTGTGTCTACCAAAGAACGTAGCGTCCACACAAATTCAGAAAGCTGCAGTATGTAACTCGGATCGTAAAAAATCAAATTAATTCCAAACAAATCATACAGATATTACAATACATACTGTTTACCTATACTTATGGTTGTTAGTTGTTTAAATATTAGCAGCAATCAAAAGCAATTATTTTTGGCCTTAAGCCTTTACCCTCTTTCATTTTTCGCAAACGCCCCTTTAAATTGCATTGTTTGTAAATCAAATAAAAAGTATTATAAAATATCAACTATATATTTGCGTCAAAATTAATCGATGATTATAGGTTGTAATATCTTAATGATTTTTTTGAATTAATTTGATTTTTTTACGATCCCAGTTGAATATTTCAACTTTCTGAATTTGTATGGACGCCACGTTCTTCGGTATGAGTTGTTTTTAATAATTTTGTCCTTATAGACGCAATAGATAGAAGTAAGATTAGCAGTAATCACCATCAAATATTTTTACGTAAGCCTATACCCCCTTTCATTACTCGTGAACACTCCCTTTAACAATCAAAACTTGAATAAAAAAAGTTATAGCATTTCTGAACAGCGACTGTTTACCCAAATAGATCATCATGTGTAATTGGTGTACTGAAATTATGCACAAATTAAGCATGCTGTTATTGGTGTTAGATGTGAAACAGTTACTAACCTTCTTTTAAGGATATTTAAGTAACAAGTTTTTGAGAAAAAGCACTATATATCTAATTGCAAATTTAATCACTTTTATCAATAATTATTTCTTACACTAAACATTTAAATATAAGCAGTGACGTAAATATATCAGCGTACTGCATGTACGATTGCCTGGTTCTACCATACTGTTTAGTGACTGTTTACCTATACTTATGGTTGTTAGTTGTTTTTAAAACCATCAGAAAGATAAGTTTATAAATGTTCTTTTTCACTTTCACGGTTTTTCGTTTATCGAGAGAAATAACCGGAATGTTTTCTGACCTCGGATTTTTCCACCAAATAATGTATTTTGTCTTAAAAAGGTTGTTAACGATTATTAACAAAGGGTCAACGTTTTTCGTTTTTTCTTTGTCGTTGTTTAAAACGAAACGATTGTTCTAAAAAAATGTAAAAGATCCATCCCTACCTATACTAGCAAAGTTAGCAAATCCACAAAGTGCAAATGTACAGATTGTAATGGATCTCTCTTCAAGTGTACATAAATCACTTGTCTCATCCAAACCACAGGCTTTCTAAACACAAGGTTTAAAGTTTACACAATATAACAAATGAAAAAATTACATTTATATTATATCTCATTCACAAACAACATTTTGCCAAAAACTTTAGCTGAAGCAATGGCTTTGTAGGTCTAAAATGTTCATGTCTTGGGCTGCAAAAAAGTATAAGTTTGGTATCAAAGGTAAGGCTTATGACTCGTTAAAGTCACCCAAGTCTTGAAAACTGATAGCTGTGTGAATTTTATTTGAAAAAGATAATTTATAATTTATAATTTCAAGTTATCCTTCATTGAAAGAGGGGTAGCCCCATCCTCAACGATAATCTTTAAAATCTTTTCCTCATCAAGATTGTTAAAGATATTTACGTTTTTCTAAAAAGTGTTTTCATACCAATTTGCAAAATTGTTTGGAAGAATTAAGGCGCAAGTGGAGTTGTAGAGAAATGCCAAACGGAACTTTCAAAGAGAAAATTATTTTGCATTTTTGATAGGATTTTACTTGAGCGCAATTGCGAGCCCTGTGATTCCGTGCAATTGCGAGCCCTGTGATTCCGCGCAATTCAACACAATTCCGCGCAACGGAATTCTGATTGGAAATCCTAATTCTTGATCTGACAAAGCTTTTATCAAGTGGTACTTTTCTGAGAAGGACATGTCTCTAATGAAGAGTTCATTGAAATACCGTCATAAGTCTCTTTAACATAATAAAAAAACAATTATTACCTTTATTATACCCAACTCTTGAAATGCCGGAAGTTCAGTCACTAAAAGTTTCATTCCTATTAGTTTAGCAACTACCAAACAATCCTAAAACAAGAAAGAAACGTTTATTATTTAAAGAACATGATGCAAATTTTTCGTTTTCCCCATTAGATCGGAAATGTTCTACAGTTGATTTTAATATTCAAAACACTGAAAATTGGTTCAGAACTACGGTAAATCAGAACTACGGTAAATCAGAACTACGGTAAATCAGAACTACGGTAAATCAGAACTACGGTAAATTAGAACTACGGGAAATTAGAGTTACTGGTTGAAAAATCAGCGAGATTAACCCACGTTAATCCACTATTTTTCGCACTTTATTTTCAATACTTTTTGTACATGCTTAAAGTAAATATTTCAAATATTAAACGTTTTTGACGAATTTTGAATGGTGAGGGGGATAACGACTGAAAATATTCTGACAGAATGTAGTTATACATGTAGTTTTATTTAACTATTTATTTATTTATGTAGCAGATTTCATAGTTTGGGACACCAGGTTGCAAAGATGCTTGGGTCATCAAAATTCGATTTTTCGGTGAGTAATACGTTTGTTGAAGTAAAATATAAAAGTACTTACTTCTGCTCTAACTCCCATTATCCAAGCCAAGGGCCAGAAAAGATAACCCAATAATATCTAAAATATTTAATGAATAAGTTTCATTTTGCAAATTAAAGGGACCGTTCACTTATTTGGGCAATTTTAGGGTAAACTCTAATTGTCATTTAGCTATTTATTTGTACTAGTCATACTTTTCAAAGATAACTATAGTCAGGATCAGAGATTTTTAATAATTTATAAAGATTTAATTATATTGTAATATCATTAAGTTTATAGCTTTAATTTTTTTTAAATTGGTCATAAATTATCTGTTGTTAACATTTTTTAAATGTTTGATATTTTTTCCTTCTTCCTCAGAAAATGTGAATAGAGTATGCAGTATTTAATTCTTGTGCTGTATCTATCAATGTGAATAGAGTATGCAGTATTTAATTCTTGTGCTGTATCTATCAATGTGAATAGAGTATGCAGTATTTAATTCTTGTGCTGTATCTATCAATGTGAATAGAGTATGCAGTATTTAATTCTTGTGCTGTATCTATCAATGTGTGTGAATAAATCTTTAATAATAATTATGATATAATGGCTAACACATGACATCATTAAAATATGACAATTTCAGTTTTCTTTGGGCTGTTATTGCTGAAAATTGTTGATACAGTGGTTATTTAAACAAACCGACTGAGATTAAATGTTTGTGCCCGAATTCTAAGAAATTAATAAGCTTTTCTTCTGGGTAGTTTAAATTGCACCCTGCAACCGACGGGTTTCCCGGCGCTCTATTACCCTCATACGTGAAACAATCTGGCTGGCAAGCACAGTATGGGAAGTCTCAGTTATCCTTGAAAAGCAATATGGACCAATACCGATGAGTAGCGAACTGGCTACCAAAGAAAATTTGTGTTTTTGGCAAAGACTTAATTCATTTACTTTAAAAATATCCAAATAATTGAATAGTCCTTTTAACTATAAGAAAATTCCAAAAAGCTCAGGCTAATGACCAAAGGAAATCATTAAAATACATTCCATAGAATACTTTATTATTTATGCTTAATATTTGTGATTAAAATCAAGAATTATGTAATTTTCAATTGTTACAAAGAGAATGGGGCATATTATAAGGAGTTATACAATTATAAAATTCAAAACCAGAACTGCCGTTTTACAGCAATTAAAGTCGGCTTAAACTAGAATGCTCAAACTTCTTCACTTTTTAACATGTTGTGAACATATTTTGCAAAAATATTTATTTGATGCACACAAAATGGGCACTATCTTAAAAAAAAAATCAAAAGTAGCCAATAAACTATGCAGAATTATATGTATCCTTGCTTGTATATATAAATATAAATATCTATAACTAGCTATTGATAGTTGAATGTATTTATCAGGCTATATTATGTTAATAGTCTGAGTTGTGAATCGATATAACTTGGGAGCTGCACTTACCTAAGGTAGAAGATTATATCTGTGTATAAGTCTTTCTACTATTAAGGTTTTCTGTGCACTGAGCTTTATTCCCTTTATTCTTTAAGTTGATAGCGGCGAGGTATCCTATCTGTGTTTCTATAGATAGGTGCAGACTAATGTATATATACAACATATATATATATATATCTATAATCGTCTAGATTATCCAGATTACTACAGTAGGGAACAATTCAACCCTCCAAGAAATTAAAAAAAAACTCCAATTGTTTGGAATTAATATCAATTGGATATATCTTCCGTCCTAGATGTTGCTTTTTAAAAACTAATTTGACAAAGGAATTGTAACTTTGTATATATTTCTTTAGGCTAAATTCTATAATTTTCTACAAAACAAACTTAACCCCCCGTAGATATTTATTGACTTTTTAAAAACAAATTACCATTTTAAAAACAATAAATTCATGGTCATAATTTTCAGGGTTTAATTGTTTTTCGAAGCGAGCTATTTATGAAAATACTGAATAATTCCTTTAGCCACCTGTCCAGAGCTGGGCGTCGTTCTTCGAGAACGATCCTTTTTTAACAAGAACGAACGCAACTATCAAGACTGATACCATTGTTCCAAAAACAAGAACAGAACACAAAGAACACATTTATAAAAATATTTGAACGGAACGGATATTAGCTTAAAAGAAGGTTTAAAATCAGGAACGCATTCTTATTATCAAGAACACATTCTCAGTCAGAAATGCATTTTAGATCAGGAATGTGTTCTAAATCATCTAGAAATAATTACAATACCCCCACCCACTCTAAACCTGCCTCCCCTTCCCATGAGGGAGGAGAGATTTAGGTTGAAAGAAATTGTTTTCTATAATTTATCTATATATCTTTTTAATATTTTTGAAATATTGATAATAAAATTAATTATTTTTTTTAAATCTACAAATTGTAAACCCCCCTTTTTTAAGATAAACCTGAATCTCAGCACTTACACCCATCATACATTTTAAGGATTTTATGACCCCTCCCCCAGCTTCACAAAAAATATACCATGCATGGCCCAGAAATTATTTAAGCTTATCCTTTGAACCTTTAAAAGATGAAGTTAAAGTATATTTTCGACCTTGATAATTTTTTACTATAAAATCGTCATTTTTTACTTTTTTAAAAACCTCTTTTCTACAAAACTTTTGTCTCTTGGAAACCTCTAAAGTAATCTTTATTCTAGAGGTACAACCCCATTAAAATGAGGGGGGTGGTCACATTAAGTATTTTTGCAAGGGTAAGTAAGTGACAGCTTCCCAGATCTTTTATTTCCCAAGCAGCAACTTCCCAAAGGTTAGGTTAGGCCTTCTGAGGTGCCACAGGCTGTAATTTGGGACCAAGTGCAAGAGGGCCGCCCATGCATTTCATCTAGGACATTCTTGGGAAGATGCTTCTTGGAATTTTGCATATTTGGGAAGTTGCCACTTGGGAAAATACTTTTGGGAAGTTGCCCCTTGGGAAAATGCCATTGTGAAAGTACCTAATTTATTTAGAACCTCCTCCTTAAAAAGTTAAAAAAGAAGAATTGGATTAATTGAATTATATTTATATAACATCATTCATAACATGTAAACTAACATCACACTTAACAAGTTAACATTAAGATATTACAATAATATAAAAAAACCTTGGATTTTTGCTGAATTTTTTGCTGATTTTTTTTATGAACAATAAATATGAAAAAGTTGTAATATTATATTCAGCTCTGATTAAACAAGGCATTAATCACTTTTTCTTGAAAACACAAGATGATATCCTTATCAAATGAAACCAACAGAACAACTACAAGATTTGACAAAAGTAAGGGAATTTTAGACTTAAACACTGTACTAACAGAGAAGAACTGGTACAGCAAAATTGAAGCAACCAAACCAACAACAAGACACACTGTCAAAACACTAGCTGTTTTCATACACTGCTGTTTAAGTGTGTCTATTACAAAGTTTGTTTCTATGTTCTTTTCTTTGAAATCATGGCTGTCACCAACTTGAGTGGATGGAATTGAAAGGTTTGAAATTCTGGGAATCACAGGCAGAGAGTGTGATCTCCTGGATTTGACAGAGTTCTGAGAGGCAATTTTTACTTGAGACTTTGACCGTTTCAGAGCAAAATCTCTTTTGTTTGAGACCCTTGTTTTGATTTTTTTGACCGGATTGACTTTTCTTGCATTTTTTTTCTTTTTGAAATTCATGATAATTACATAAATGACCCTTGATATTTCCATGAGGAGAGCGCACAGTATCAGGATGGGGACAGTAGGGAGATGGTAACAAGGTTGATCTGTGTCTTCTTCTTGCTCACCCGTTGAGTTTTGTTTAACAGCCGTAGAGTTGATTTCAAATGATTCCCCAATGCCAGTTTCAACTCTAAAAGCAACTGCTAACATTGTTTTTGGGTTGTCATAGCATACTACTAATCCGTAAATGAAGTCAATTGCAATCACAACAACTGTTAGGAAAAGTGAAACTGCTGCTGTTCTGGTTGGCCTAAGCTTGTGAAAAACAACAGGGTTTGTAAACAACATCAACCGTCCAGCTGATAACCAACTTGCTAGGCCTAGTAGAAGTAGAGTTAAAGATCTATAGGACAGAAAATGAACCATTAAAGGATTCACTTTAAGAAATTCTTTAAGCTCGGAGTTCCAGAAGCAAGCAATGAGAGACATGACTTCAGCCCTAGCAGATTGGATAAGTATTGTTGCAGTAATCAGGATCAAAGTTCTGTTCAGGAAGTTTCGCTGTGGCATTGGCCTGGTTTTAAGAAAGTAGATCAAGAATACAGATGCTGCAATTGAAAAGGTGTATTCCATACTGTTGACAACAAAGGTGTAGGTGTTTGGCATTGAGGGTGTAAAAGCAACAATGATAGTATATACGGAAAGACCTATTATCTTCATTGTATTGGTTAGGCTCATTTTTTTCTTAAAACTTTAAATGAGTAGTTGGTTATGAGAGCAGTGTGCAAATGAGAAGAAAGTATTCTGAATACAGAGCATCCTTCTCACAGTTAATTTTATACCAGGCAGAGCTCTGTTTACAGAGAGCGGTTACTGTAGTTACCAAAAGAACAGTAAAGCTCTGCTTCATGCTTCTCTGTAGGTGTGGCCAGATTTTACTTTTTCATAAAATCATACCAAGTATAAATCCTTTTTTCTAAAATGATATTTATCTAAATTAAAATGGAATAGAGAAAACAGTTGCAAAATTCATTGTTCTCAAAGAAAAATAATTGTCTATTACAATGACAACCATTGATAAAAATTTATCTAAAAATATCTGTAACTCCAATACCCTCACCCTTCTCATCTATTTTAACCTTTTCATTTATATTCCTTGAAATCTTCCCTTGCTCCTCATTCTTATAGTTTCATCAGTATTTTCAAAACTGATGCCCACCCTTACAAATACATTGTATTTAAGATGAAAATTAATTTGATGTTATTACTGATAATCTTAAATAGAAAAGATAATCTTTTATTATAATTTTGTTATTAATATTGTTTTTGAGTTTGTTGCATTTTTCAATATTCACAAAATATTTTATCTTTGATTTTAAAAAATACCTTTTTTGTAAATTTTTTTAAAACTTAGATAATGCTTAAAAACAATAATTTTACATTGCAAGATTTATCTTAACATAACTAATTTTTCAACAAAAAGGTTTTTCTTAAATCAAAAATTTTAACAAATCTAATTGTATTCACTTTATAATTTGTTTTTTTAATATCTTCCTTTTTGCGTGAAAAACTTTTGAACTTTTAGTATGAAATTTCTACTGCATAGCAGAGGCTCGATGCATAGAAAATCTGGGAGGCTCCTGGGGGCCAGGGGTTCTCTCCCATGTCTAAAGGGTTACATTTTGTGTCTTTGCTTTCAGAAATACCACTGAACATTCTAAAATTTGGAGCTATAGGTCTCTTAAACCTATTTAAATGTGAAGAACATCTGGGGTTTCCAACGCAAGTGAATTTAATTGGTCCCAATAAACGCAACGGAATTGCAAGCAATTGAACGCTATTCCTGCAATTCCTTCCAATTTTCTTGCTTTTTTTGGGAATATTTGATTACAAATGGAACACAATAAATGCAATTAATTATTGTGCATTTCATTCCACAACATTGAGTTAAAAAAAATAATCAATTTAAACTTTGGTAGTGGCATACAATAAAATGAGGGTAACAACGTAAATGCTATAAAAGAATTTTGAAACATAAATACATTTTTTTAGCCCTGTCTCAATTGGCCAAAATTATTCTTGAAATCTCTCTAAAATATTGTAGCTTAAATCTTAAATCTTAATTAAAAACAAAGTTGTGGCATACACCATTTGGAGAAAAATTCTAGAAGACTGTACTGTAGCTTATAGCCCACCTGAAAGGATAAGTCCTGTGCGCCAGCAAAGTCCCCAAACCATCCAATCAAAGCGTCTAAGAAGGCCACAAAGCTTTTAAAAGCGATCAGACTTGCAGCTATGTTTAGAACTAAACCAATTGCCGTAGACGCACCCTAGATAATCAATCATAAAAAAGTTTCCAAATGGCTTGGGTGTACAGTGTACATGTGTACACTGAAGCGGAAATTTTAAAGAGTATCATTGAATGAAACTCCCAATTTTCCTTTTCAGAGTCTTGACATTTGTGGAGATTAATTTAAAAGGGAAAGCCCCTTTGGTTAGTTACATCTTGGGAAATCGAACATTTGGGGAAATTGAGAGTACCTAAAAGTCTGTAGTTACCTTTGCAGCTGCATCCAGCACATTGGCATCATCTTCATTTTCAACTTTTAAATCTCTAGAAATAATTGTTTTTACAACTTTTATGTCAAATTTAAATTATTATTAATCATCTATGAATATACCAACTTTATTGTTGTTTTTGATTCTTCAGTCTCTGGATAGAAAAGTTTAGAAACAGCCAGAGCTGTTGGAGCTGCCATGACACTTGCTGTTATCAAGTTGTTGGCGTCAATACCTATCCTGTATTTGAAAAATTAATAATGGATTAAAGGTCTGATTAATTGGAAACCAAATTTTCAAATCTTTTCAACCTTTACAACTAATCTTTGAAATTGTGTCTATAAAAAGTTTATTGTAGATAAGAGATGAGATTGGAAAGATTAGTTTTGTTTCAGAAAATGAACAGTTTAACATTATTAAAAAGTTTATTTTAGATAAGAGATGAGATTGGAAAGATTAGTTTTGTTTCAGAAAATGAACAGTTTAACATTATTAAAAAGTTTATTGTAGATAAGAGATGAGATTGGAAAGATTAGTTTTGTTTCAGAAAATGAACAGTTTAACATTATTAAAAAGTTTTCCTTCTGTAAAATAGTGTTTTGAACCCAGACTTAATTCCCCGCCTTTTATTTTCGAAAATCTTAAAAATTGTAAAATAGTGTTTTGAACCCAGACTTAATCCCCCAGCCTATTATTTTCGAAAATCTTAAAAATTGTATCTTGTATTTAGAAATATTTAAACATGAATTAAACCTCAATACTTTAATTTCAAAAATAACTTTAATACTTAAATTTGTTTTTATTTACCCAATATATGCACCAAGAACAGTTCCTGCGATAGTGGCAAACCCACCAGTCATTACTGCATGAATTTCTGATCTAAAAATAAAATAGTCTATTTTATATAGGAATAAAGCTCTTTGCTCATTTATATATTTTCTATAGCGGGCAAAACTGTGGAACAAAATTGGCTATCATTTTTTAAGGGAATCCATTGGTAACATAGGCTAAAAATATTATAATTATTATGGAATTACTTTCAAATTCAACAGGCAACCCCGGGCACTGCTAAAATCCTGATTTAAGACCAAGCGAGTATAAACGGCAGACGTAATTATAATTAACCTGAGCAATGATATGCAATTTAGCTAGTAAGTAAATACTGTATTGTATTGTAAAATCACATCCTGATGGATAACATAAAAGTAGGGTTCCCATTTTTTTGGGATCAATTTGGACCCGTAAAGGCCATACAGAACATTTCCTGAAGCCTATTTATGTATGATAAACCTTGAAAAACTTTTGGAAATTAATGGCTGAACTTTTCTTGATAAAATTAAGGATGCTTCACAAAGCTGGATGTGACCTGCTGAAAAAGTTAACGGGACGATTATTCCAGATCAATTCCATATGGGAGAATCATCCTGTAAACTTTTTCAAAATTTCTCACCAAGTTTCGTTTAAAAATCTGTTAAAAAAGGTTCTGCCCTTAATTTCCGAAATTTTTAATGGTTTATAATTCTTAACAGCTTCAGAGAAGGTTTGGTAAGGCCTTCATGGGTCCAAATTTATCCACAAAAAAATAGAAACTCTATACAAAGATGGGCTTTTTTTGATGTACATTTCATTCTTCTTATTCTTCTATTTCTTCTACTGTAGATTTAACAGTAACACTATACAGTATAACTGGCACAATTTCCGCAAAACCCCAATAGTGTTAGGTCAGTGTCATGCATGTCACTGCATGCTTTAAGTACCAAAACCCCAATATTGTTAGGTCAGTGTCACGCATGTTACTGCATGCTTTAAGTACCAAAAGTTTGGGTTAAGGTGGCCCCATAAAATGAATTAATCTTAACACAAAAAAAATAAATATCTTACTTGGTCATAACTGGAAGGAATGGTTTGATGAGAAGTGGGGCTTCTGTCTGCCCGAGAAAAATATTAGCAGCGGCATTTGTACTTTCAGCAGCTGTTGTTCCAACTGTCTTACTCAATAACCAACCTTGAACAGTTTTTATCTGATGCACAACTTGAGTATTCACTGAAGAAGGCGAATTTAAAAGAAAAAAAATAAGTTTATAATCATATATTCCAAAATATATACAGTAATAACCAGAAAAATCCGAAATAGGAAGACGACTTTTAAACTAGTTTAATGAACATTAGACATACCAATTGTATAGTGTAAATGAACCCATTTCACTTATATAGTGCTTTGCTAAGTTATAATGCGTCTTTCTATTCCATTGCTTTATGGTTATTGAATATTGATGTTTCTTAGAAAATGTATATGTATGATAATAATGAAAATATGGCGTTTTTTTTCATTTTAACTTTTTATTTTTGGAATTAATAAAGAAGATAAATTGAAGATTAGAGAGAAAGAGATTCTAAAAACTGGTTCTTAATAAAACACAATTCTATATTACAGAGAAAATAAATAAAATAAATGAAAAAGTAGGTATCATCATACAAACGTCTCCTTGAGGAAATGGCCGTTCTGCTAATTGAATAAATCGTTCAGTCACCTACCTAGTTTAAGAACAATGGCTTGAAGTACACCAAGGTAGTAAAGCCTAGTCACCTACCTAGTTTAAGAACAATAGCTTGAAGTACACCAAGGTAGTAAAGCCTAGTCACCTACCTAGTTTAAGAACAATAGCTTGAAGTACACCAAGGTAGTAAAGCCTAGTCACTTACCTAGTTTAAGAACAATGGCTTGAAGTACACCAAGATAGTAAAGCATGCTGACAAAGAATGAAAGAAAGTAGATCATCGAGAGAACTTTGAACATCATACCGCTTCCACCAAAGGATCCAGAATCATTAATGGCAACCATCACACCTCTAATGTAACATTACAAAAATCAACGGAAAATTATATATTGTACTATACTGTACTATACTGTACTTTACATACTGTACTATATTGTACTATTAGAATTTTTTTTCAATTAGTACTTTGCCAGGAAAAATCAGTGTATAGCTTTGAGATCCTCATAGCCAGGGTTAAAAAAGTATAAATTGGTATGATCTTCAAAAATTTAGAATCCCCGGGGTACACCTTAATGTTCGCCCGGTTTAAAAAACTTTTAAGAATTAATCAAAAATTGATTAGTTTAGTAGTAGGCCTTTTAAGTTATTCAGTTTTGTTTTTCTTTCTAACTAAATACTTTTATTAAAAGAAAACTAAAAGTTGTAAAAATCAAAAAATATAATTTCCTTTCTGTATCTTGTAATTTATACTAAAGTGCAGGTATCTGACAAACGATCATTTACAGTAGACATTTTATTCTAAAAATGTTGTTACCAAAGCATACTGTTCAGAAAATAAAATAAACATCAAATAATCTCCAGATTACAGGGCGTTATCCCCTTAAAATATTTTGAATAATTTCTTACTCAAAATAATTATTTCTGAAAATCCATCTGTTTCTAATATCACTTTTTTATTTATCTAGTTTAAGTATGAAAATATTTAATTTTTTTTTCTAATATTGAGTATAATGCAGTATAACACTCTACTTGAACCTTTTATCTTAATGCGCATTACTTTCTGTTATTTTATTCTACATTTGATCTTTAGCGGTAATTGTTTAGAGCAGGGAACTTTTGTGTTTGATACGCATTATCCCGATCCACAGATCTTGACATCCACTGTGAGCACTTTTATTTTGAGGATATTTATTTTAGTTATTCCCAAGGAGAATGGAATATAAGGGAGAAGGAATGATGGCGTTATTCAGCCTAATTTTTTCCTTGTTTAATGTATGAAAAACATGCATAATCATATGGAAGGGCGGGCCGGGTCGTTTCCTTTTCCATTATATTCCATATTCCTTGGTTGTTCCTCCTCTGAACATTTAGCACTCAATTTAAACCCTGATCAAAGCTTTCTTAAACCACTTACTGGGCACAATTACAATGCGTGATATTAAATAATATATTAAATTAATCTGCAGATTTACAAAGGATCGAGATTAAGCATTGATTTCGATATACAGTCTCGAGTTCCCAGCATAGGGTTCCGTTTAGGAGAGGAATTTTGTCAAATTTAACTAAATCCGAGGGAAGTACAACTCCTACAACTTCCTACAAGTTACAATTAGTCGAAGAAAAAGTAGGAAATACAAAAAGGACATTGATTCCACTGTTTTCTGGATACCACTGTACGTACCTGACAGTGAGATCAAGGTCTGTGTTATTGTTGTAATTATCTGGGATAAATGGTTTGCCAGTTATAAGATAACCATAAATCATCTCAGCTCCAACATCTTAACATTTAAAACTATTTAGGATTAAACCTTTAAAGGAACTGAGTCCGAATTTAATGAATTTGAGCCGCGTCTCAAATCCGCCAAAAACCGGTTTCAATTGAGCGCCGGCTTAAATCTTGAAATATTGAATACAATTTTAAGTGGAACCAACCATATTTGATCCGCGTCTCAAATTTTTTCTTAAAATTTCCATAGTGCAAAACAATTTGAATATATATACATATATATAATATGCAATCAACCAATTTGAACAGAAAAGGGATAAAACGGGCCCTAACGCCTTGTGTAATATATTTTTAAAAAGTAGTTTAAAGATGAAAAATACAAACCTGAATAAGAAAGGAATGTTTTGACTTTACTGCTCAAACAATTGATGAGATCCTTCCCAAAACTCCATTTTATCACTATCATGGCAAATGCAAACTGTAAACATTTATTTAATAGTATTTGATATTAACTAGACAGGACATTACTGAACCGACATTAGGACCTCGTAGCTCCTCTTGTTTTAATTCTAAACACAAGTAGGAGAAAAGAAACTTATTTATTTGCAAATTAAGGAGACTGAAATAAAACCAAAAAACGAGGCCTCAAAAAAAATTTTTTATATAAAACCGGCTTGAAATTAAATAAACTTTTCCTGAATCCCTAGACCCCAGGCGATTTGTTTCCACAAAACCTTTCTGAAACAAAAAGAAAGAAAGACAATCTTAAAAGTGTTTAACTTTTTTGTGGTTAAAAGAAAAAAAGGCTAAAAGAAAAATACACCTCTTTAACGGTTCTAATTATTTATTGTGAAATTAATGTTCCAAAATATTTTGGTTTGATTATTTTATATTTTTTTCTTAAATTATTTTATGTAAAAATTAAAGCTTTAAAAGGCCAAATAAAACATGTTCCATAAAACTAAGATTCCAACATTTTAAATCTGTTTTCTGGAATTTTAAATTTTCAAACTTTAAATCCTTAGAAAAAATGTAGGGAAAAAACTGACTTGAAAACGACCGACCATGTACTTTGTTTGTTTTTGCATGTTCTCTCTCCGTGCCTTAGTGTAAAGAAGTATAATGAATAAACGATTTAGAAAATTAGGAAACTCTGTTTAGATTTGGATCCTTTAAAATTTAAAACCAAACTAGCTTATGCCCATATCTGATTAATCAGACCTTTAATATTTTCAATAAAAAATTCTGATAGATCAAATGTCAAATTTTGAAATTTCAAAAGATTTCAGCAGCTTTAGTTTTTAGGCAACATTTTCATAGATTTTTATAAACAGAAAATCAGAGTTAAAATATTTTAGTGTTTTTTTTCAATGAAAATAATCCATTAATTTTATTAAAAAAATAAGTTTGCTTACATGATTCTATTAATAGAAATTAAAAATCGTCTCTGGAATTTCAACAAATTTCAAAAACATTCAAATTATGACTCTTAAATGTATTGAAAAAGAATATTTATTAAAGTTCGTAACTCTTAAATGTATTGAAAAAGAATATTTATTAAAGTTCGTAACTCTTAAATTTATTGAAAAAGAATATCATTTTACCAAATAAGCTAAAATGCCGCCAATCACAACAAGATATGCTGAGATGCTGACCAGTCTATTCTAAAATAAAACAAATTTAAATTTATTTAGACTGTGCTCTGTGACCTTCCACTAAAAAAAAATCCTATTTACATTTATCCTTTATTCCAAAAATATGCGCAAATATTATGAAAATTTTCTTTGCTTTTTTATTCTAAAAATTGATAATTTAAGCTTTGGTTTCTGCCTAATATTAGCTTGCAGCTTCATACAGTAGAAACAACTCAGACCAATTTCAGAATTTGATGCCAATTTGTAAGATTAAAATATTTTTGCAACCTTATGGTGTACACTTTTGATATTTCAAGCTTAGTCTTTTTTATCTTACAGATGTAATAGTAAATATCTAAAGTCTACATCATCGGTTTGCAAAAAATTAGAGATTAAAAATTAGAGCTTGTGGCAAAACTCTTTTTCTTCGTATACTGTAATTTCAGCTGTAGCAGTAGAATGACTGCAATAAGACGTGAAACATAAATTTAAACATAAATCGTATGTGTATCTCCATATTTGTTATCGTTGATAAGCAAATAGTTTTACACGAAGCTTAAAAAATTATTTATCATGCAAGTGATATGGGCCTGGAACCCTGTGTACACACAATAACTGTGTTTCATGTTCATTAGAAATCATCGCATGAGTCTAATTGTCGTCTTCTTATTCCACAGTTGTATGGTTCGGGTAAAATTTTTGAATATTTTTTCTTCTTTGGTTTATTTGGACGGTAAAAGTACAACGTTTTAATCTTTATGTAATTATTGTAAAAAATAGTAGTTTTTACATTTTGTTCCGTCTCCAGAGCGGTAAAATCTCATTGATTTTTCCGTTAGAACTGTGGTATATGTTTTTACCTCTAGCAGTTTTGATATTTTTCTCAACCAAGGACTAACAATTCTGTAAACATGTTTTCCTAGCAGAGGTTTTAAAATCTAAACATTACGGATATCAGTTTATGAATATTATAATTTATCCAACAAAGTGAAAGTAAAACGTACAAAAAACGAAGTCAAACCTTATGGAAATCCAACGTATAGAAACAGCTAGGTAAAGCAACAAGGCGTATTTTCCGGGAAGAATTTTTTTTATATTTTTGAGAATTAAACGTTTTTGTAAAACATTGTAGCTTATCATTATCATTATCATAATTTCTATTTTTTTTAAACATACCCTAGACATTAAAGGAGCAAAATAGTTTAATATGTACATTTGTACTGCTCTCTATTGTGTTTAAGGTCCTCCAGATTTTATTATGTACTGACAACATAAATGAATGATTATATGGTTATACATAAATTTGCATGTTACTATTTAAAAAAATATTTTATAAAAATGCTATCTACAGTTTTATTTTTAGAAAAAAAAAATTCTCAAAAGTATAAAAAAGTTCTCCAGTAATGCGAATATGATTTCATAAAATTCCGTTTTACCATTTAAATAAAAGGATTTTATGAAAATTATATCAACTATACACTGATTATTTAATTTCTCAAAAATATAAAAAATGGTCTCCCGGAAAATACGCCATGTTGCACGTAGCGGTTTCTATACGTTGGATTTCTATAAGGTTTGACGCCACAAAAAACAGCTTGTAGCAAGAATGTTTTTATCACAAAAAGATAATATATTATGATTATTGTGTAGACATCATAATGCATTGAAAATAAACCCCAATGACATTTTAAACAAATCATTTATGATATTCAAGCAAAATTAGACACAATTATCTACCTTCGTTCTATTTATCATTTTCTTCTTTAATAAATAATTATAAAACAAAGGTTAACCAAGGTATTTCTTTTAAATAAGACTGAACACGTTATTGGAAATTTTTAGGATTGGAAACATGAATCTATTCCAAAGAACTGAATATTTAATAAATTATTGTGCACGTTATTGAACATTTTTCTTTGGGACTTGAGACAAAATATATTAATTTAATTATACTTACATATCCGTACAATATCCCAGCATAGGTTAGCGAAGTCAGCACGATTAAAAATGCTAAACAAAACCGTTTATCTAAAAGTTTTTATTCAATAAAAATGCTCGAATTCACCTTGCACCACTTTTAAATTTTTTTATACGTTTAAAAAAATTTCTCTTTCAGATTTTAACGTTTACATGTCAATAAAATCGCAAATCAAATCGCCAGAAAAAAAAAACTCTTCAGATCAATATACAATATCCGTTCATAAAAATACCTTAAAAATGGAGACAAATTATGAGCTAAAATTCAGGTTTTTGGATTAATTTGCGCCATAGCTATAAAAAAAAGTTTTGAAGCATTTTTTGATGTACCGAAAAACAAACAGTTATGGACGGTATTCGGCTGTTCAAGAGGCATCTTTTAATACCTCTATTAACATGTTTTGCTAAGATTGAAAAATCGACATTTCTTTATGATTTCTATATTTTTAATCGTTGTTAATACTAAATGAGTTTTGAATTTTGTAATTTTTTCTTAAATAAATGTTGCTTGTGATTTGCTATTACATAATTTTTTGCTGGTGCAAATAGGATTTGACATTTTCGACGAAATAGTTTTCACCCAATTAGTTTAATTTATATTTTTTGTTGAATTTTAGAAAAGGCAAAAGAAAAATTCATTTAAATTCTCTGTTTTTTATTTTTATGTAATCTGAGCTGGGAACTTTAGAATGGATAAACTTTAATCCTGACTTCTTGATCCGAATATCCACTGTGGAAACTTTTCATTTTTGTCCTAATCCACTCTTTTCCCTCTCCTTGGATATCCGTTAATTGCTTTCTCCAATGAGAATATTTCTGTTCTCTTATTGGTTCCCGCTTTTCTCTGATTGACTGCTACAGTTTCTCAGATGATTACAGTTTTTCATACACTTTTAAGTAATCTTGCAAGATTATGTTAATCTTGAGATTATCAAAAAGAGAGGATCAAGCATTAATCCTGATATCCACCATTCTAAAGTTTTCAGCTCTGTACTCTACATTTTTGGCGTACTAAATGAAAAGATATAAAGAAGAAAAAATTCAAATGTCGTCTTCTTTTTCGTTAAACTACAAATTGTTGCAAGGAATTTTTTTTTTCAACTGAAAATTATAAAAAAGAGTTCGTATCCTGGAATATATTGTTAATCTGAAGTACGCTTAATCCGGATATCCGATGTGGGCACTTTGAAATTTGAGGATTAATGCTTGATCCATAGATTAATTAAAAATATAGATCTCAGACATTGTCCTATCTGTTATTGTTGATTAATTTATGGCTTGATCGATCAATTACAGTTGATCCAGCAGGGTTTAAAAATCACAGAATATCGAAAAGGAATTTAATTAATGCATATATTTGAATAAGATGGATTTCATTGCTTGATCTAGAGATTTACAACACAACATTTCTGACTTTTTATACAATAAAAAATATGTAATGCCTACAATAGAAAATATGTAATGCTTACAACATAAAATATGTAATGCCTGCAATAGAAAATATGTTGTGATTACAATAGACAATATCTAATGCTTGCAATAAAAAATATTGTGTGCCTACAATAGAAAATATGTAATGCTTAAAATATAAAATATTTTATGCCTACAATAGAAATATGTTGTGATTACAAAAGACAATATTTAATGCTTACAAGAAAAAATATTTAATGCCTACAATAGAAAATATGTAATGCTTACAACATAAAATATTTAATGCCTGCAATTGAAAATATGTTGTGATTACAGTAGAAAATATTTCATGCTTGCAATACAAAATATTTAGTGCCTGCAATAGGAAATGTGTAATGCTCAAAATATAAAATATGTAATGCCTCCAATAGAAATATGTTGTGATTACAATAGAAAATATGTTGTAATTAAAATATAAAATATTTAATGCCTACAATAAAAATATATATAATGCTTGAAATATAAAATATTTAATGCCTACAATAGAAATATGTTGTGATTACAATAGAAAATATTTAATGCCTACAATTGAAAATATTTAGTGCTAACAATATAAAATATTTATTGCCTACAATAGACAATATTCAATGCCTACAATAGAAAATATTTTTTCTTACAAAAAAAATATGTAATCCTGTTTATAGAAAATATTTAGAATAATAGAAAATATGTAACCCAACAATAGAAACTATTTAGTGCCTACAATAGAAAGTATGTTGTGATTACAATAGAAAATAGTTAGTGCCTACAATAGAAATATGTTGTGATTACAATAGAAAATATTTTGTGCTTGCAATAGAAAATATTTAGTGTCTACAATAGAAATATGTTGTGATTACAATAGAAAAAAATTTTGTGCTTACAATAGAAAATATTTAGTGCCTACAATAGAAATATGTTGTGATTACAATAGAAATATGTTGTGATTACAATAGAAATATTTACTGCTTACAATAGAAAATATGTTTTGCTTACAATAGAAAATATGTTGTGCTTACAATAGAAAATATGTTGTGATTACAATAGAAAATATGTTGTGATTACAATAGTAATATGTTGTAATTACAATAGAAAATATTTGGTGCTTACAATAGAAAATAATTAGTGCCTACAATAGAAAATATGTTGTGCTTACAATAGAAAATATTTAGTGCTTATAATAGAAAATATGTATTGCCTAAAATAGAAAATATGTAGTGCCTACAATAGAAAATATTTAATGCCTACACTAGAAAATATGTTGTGATTACAATAGAAAATATGTTGTGATTACAATAGAAATTATTTAGTGATTACAAAAGAAAATATGTTGTGATTACAATAGAAAATATTTTGTGCTTAAAATCGAAAATATTTAGTTTTCAACCCATTTATCTTTAAAGGATATTTCAAGGATATTTAAAGGATATTTTAAAGGATATTTAAAGGATATTTAAAGGATATCCAAAACGATTAAAGGGACTGCAGTGTAGTTTATCTAAGAAGGAGTATGCACGATTCACAACCGGTACCCTTGAAACCCTTGAAATCAATAATATGGAAAATAAAATAATATTTATTATAATAATAATTTCTCTGTTAATTCTGAAGCAAGAGATTCGAAATTTTAAACCAAAAATGAAAATAATCAGTTCAAAAGCTTTCTATTGCATACTCCTAGCTACCGCTGTGAACCGGACATATAAATGCGTATGCCCTTAAATAAATACCTGAAACTAAAAAGCACTTTTAAAAGGTATTTTTCACCTATTCTAACAAACATAAATCTTTAGAATAAGAATCAATACTGTAAAAGCATAATGTTGACGCCCAACAATTATCCTCAGGATAAGAATGATTTTTTTCTGTTAAACCATCTTTTTCTCTTGTAACTTTTGCAGAATTTTTGTTTTGGGTTATCTTCTTTTACCATTGAATTTAGTTATAATCGAGACCAGTTTATTTTGTTGTCTTCTTTTTGCAATTTTTTACTGCTTATACTGTTTAAAATGTTTGTTTTTATACTTACTAACCGTGCAATGCAGTACACAAAGTAAGCGTTGTACCCCGCAAACAGTACGGCAAACCCTATAGCATCTATGTACCGACGGTTCGCGGTGTAAATTTTACTAGAATTTTATTTTGTTTACATTAATATTTCAACTATATTAGAAACAGAGAAGGAGGATCTTATTTTGTATAATATATTAATAAATAAAAATCTAAATTTTTAACACAATATCATGTGAGTCACGTAAATACTATTTGTGTCATTTGAATTTCCGTTTGCTTAATCTCCAAGTTTTGCAGAGCATAGTGATAACCCTTTATAACAAACATATTGGGGGTTTTATTTAATGGATTACAATTCTTTCTAATTCCGCAAATTTGTATCATCTTCGACCAGTGTCCGAATTTAATTTTGACGGATTTAAACCGCGGCTCAAATTCTTTAAATTTCATTTATGGATACTTTAATTTGATCATCTCAAAACTAGCATTTCTTTGCTGTAAACAAATGATGAAGATTTGTTTTTTAAATTTTACTGAACTTTAAGAAAATGTAAATAATAATAGTTTTCCTGATGAAATGTTCATTTTCTACCATCAGCACTTCTAAAATGAATGTATAGTTAATAAATAGTTTTGACAGTCGTCTTCCATACACTTATTAGTTATTAAAGGCTGTTTGCAGTTTATTTCGTTTAAAAAATCTTTTGCTCAAATATATTTTACTTTAAAATTGATTTTATTTTAGTATTTTTATTTTAGTCTTTGGTATTAAACAACTTAACAAATTATGGAAGAGACATTCTAAACTATTTACCAACTGTCATGTTTCGTGGAACATCCTGTATCATTACAATAAAGAATACTTTCTTTTTCAATTTTTTTATATCAACCTTTATCCCTATCACAATTGGGGGGTGGGGGGGGGATATTTCCATCCCCCCCCCACAAAGTTTTTTTCTGAAAACTTATATAAACGGCTGACATTAAAACTTCTTCACTTTTCAACTTCATAGTGGTGAACAATTTTTTTTTAAGGTGGAGAACTGTCAAACGGCAGGCCGGTCTTTAAAAAAGTCAGAAATAGTAAAACCTAAATATTTTAAAAGCCTTGGTAAAATAGAGAATATAACAGAATTTTTTTTTCTAAAAATAAAACTGTAGATAGCATTTTTATAAAATATTTTTTTAAATAGTAACATGCAAATTTATGTATAACCATATAATCAGTCATTTATGATTTTAGTGCATAATAAAATCTGGGGGACCTTAAACACAATAGAGAGCAGAACAAATGTACATATTAAACTATTTTACTCCTTTAATGTCTAGGGTATGTTAAACAAATAGAAATTATGATAATGATAAGCTACAATGTTTTACAAAAACGTTTAATTCTCAAAAATATAAAGAAAAAATTCTCCCGGAAAATACGCCTTGTTGCTATACCTAGCGATTTCTATACGTTGGATTTCTATAAGGTTCGACGCCGTATAATATATCTTTTTTGTTCTTTAATTTCATTTTTGCCTTTTGTATTTTTGTATTTTGTATTTTTACCTTTTTTACCAAATTTTTGGTCGATTTTATCTTCTTCTTCAAACCCTTCGTTATCAACTCCACCCA